ATTCCTTGTGGTAATTGCCAGCGGTCAAAAGCCAAATGCGTCCCATTCATTCCTTTAGGGGTAGCACGAGGAAGGCAAGGCGGAAGGAAGAGAAAGAGAGAGGAGGGAGAATTACTGGAGCGAATTGCGAAATTGGAGGGCTTGGTCAGAAACATCGAAGGACATGAAACGCCACAAAGCGAGCAAGAGAGGACGACTGGCGAGGGTACTGTTGATGCTACCAGTGCCAAGGCAAGCAGTACACCTCGGGGTGTTTACCACCGAAACCAACCTGCAGCGCCACGGCTAGACAAGTATCTGGCAAGTTCGTTCTGGGTGAGTCTGAGCGAAGAAATTCATGGGCTGAAGGACGTGTTCGGCGGATCATCGGATGATGGAGACGAAGACGAGGGCGAGCTGACGCCCTCATCGGACACCTTGAGCTTGGGTCAGCAACACCTGCAACCGTCAAACCATTCGGGATTTGCAATTTTCGGTACAGCGATCGCCGCGGATGTCATTCCTCCAACACCCCATCAGGTCTACACATTCTGTGACATATACTTGGCCAATGTTGACCCAATATTCAAAGTTTTACATGGCCCATCCTTGCGCAAATACCTGCAAGAGAACGCTGAAGGACTTGATTGCAGTCCAGGGCGCGGGGGACTAGATGCATTAAGATTCGCCGTCTACTACGCTGCCGTTACAAGTATGGATAGTGGGGAGTGCAGACATCGAATCGGCGAAGATAGGACAATACTGTTGGCAAGATACCGGACAGGAATCGAGTCAGCATTGATGAAGACGGACTTCCTAAACACGGTCGAAATGTCGACCTTGCAGGCATTGGCTATATATCTGGTAGGCGCTTGTCTAATAGCATGAGAATTACAATTTTCGTCGACGGCCCTAGCTTACGGTGAGATAGGTATCTGTGCGTGCCAATGATAGCAGCCGTCTCATGTGGACGCTCACAAGCCTTGCAGTCCGCATAGCTGAGGCTATGGGTTTGCATAACGACAGCACTGCTTCGTTATTTCGACCCTTTGAGCATGAAATGCGACGGCGCTTATGGTGGCAGATATGTGACCTCGACTCTCACGCAGCCGATGACCGTGCGTCAAGTACCGTAATTGCCGCTGACTCCTTTAGCACGAGATTGCCTCTACACATCAATGACGAGGATATAAGTCTCAACTCATTCGAGGAGGTGAAAGAAAGGGAGGGTTATACGGACATGACCTTTGCACTGAGCTGTAACGAGGTGTTGGACGCGACAAGGAAATTATCATACGTACCCGCAAGGGAAGTCGCTCATTCCCAGGCCAGATCTGAAGAGGTGCGGGGCCAGCGGGTAGACACTGTCATCAACCTGCAGCGGCACATTGAAGAGAAATATCTGCGTCATCTCGACCCGACTCGTCCATTTCACTGGTTTACAAGGATGGTAGGAGACATCACTATTGCCATCCTGTGGCTTTTCGTTTACCGGCCTATGAAAAGACGCCCGGGTAGTGTCCCCTCATCTCAGATTGCGCATCCAGACATCCTTCGGCTTTCGGTCGATGTCCTCGAGAGAGCCCGTCAACTGGAAACAGATCCAGCGGTAAGTCCGTTCAGATGGCTGTGCCAAACTTATGTGCAATGGCACCCTTTAGCAGTGACCATTGCTGAGCTGTGTGTCAAGACGGAGGGCCCAATGGTCGAGAGGGCATGGGCGGTCGTTGAGACCGCTTTCCAGCAAATGGCGCAGCACGTGGCGGATTCGAACAAGGGCATGCTTTGGCGGCCAATCAAGAAGCTGATGAACAGGGCACGAGGAGTGAGACAGAAGCACCTCACCTCTCGCTCCGCAATTACGACCCCTTCATCATCACTAGCGGCCTTGAATAAAATCGAACAGAAGGGCCCTTCGATCAGCACGGCGTATTCTAATCTTGAGATCAAGGGCTATACACAGTGGCCGACGAAGAGTATGACGCCTCCCATCCTAGAATATCAGCAGGCCAATCCCATTGCAACCTCGGAACCCTTCGATTGGGATCCCTGGCTTACCGCTGCGACGACCCAGAGCCAGTATAACACTAACATGGACGATATGGCATGGACGAATTGGGAAGACTTCATAGACGATTTTCAAGCACAAGGTGACACGGCATGAGGATTCAATGCCTGTACACCAGAATCCTCGAGCGCCTGGGTGTGACAAGATAAACCCCATACCTACTGGATTTGACGTTTAGGGTGCATCAGATAGACTCTGCGTCACTGATTAAATGAACAGTTCGACGTTGTGGCACTCGGAGAGAGACGTCGGGATGAACGCATGTGTCCGGGAGCCCGATCCTGCTTACGGCGACGCCACAAGCATCAGGTTCATGATGTTTGGTAGGGCTCATACAATGGAGAAGAATATCTTGACTGCTAGATGAACATGGCCATGATGATTCAGTGATTCCGGATCTTTGGGTCAAGAAAACAAAATCCGACGGTACGCTAGTACATATGTGGTTAGCGACTGTGTCAAGAATCAAACACCGACAGCGCGCGGAGTCGGATTCCACCTGAACCTGTACCAACGTGCTTGTAAATCAAAGACTCTTACTTGCACTATCGACAAGCATGAGTGCAAACTCCATCCTTCCAGCGGTGGCTTGTACCGAAAGCATCGCACTTCGGACAATGAATTCTCGGAGTAGTGCGCAACAGCCATGCTCTTGCTCAATGACGCGATGAACTTTCTGCCTTTCTTGTTAATCACCTTTCTCGCATATCTTTCATATATATTAGACCACTGTCCTTTGGCAATCTTGTTTCGTGGAAGAAAGAATCAGATCCTTTCCCTTCTTCATTTCATCAAAGCCAATAAGCAAATCACGCTCCATGAAGGACCTCTTCCGAGAAACGGTGTTTGGACGCCTGGTCCACTTTGCATCTGGAGGCTCGTTCTTCAGTCGCGATGAAGAGCTTGATCCATCGTCCATCCTGCGATATAGCTTTGACAACTCTGAGTCTTCATCAAGGTCAGGCATCAAGGCAACTCAGACCGAGACAGAGAAAGGCAAAGACAAGAGTTTGGTCGAGTGGGCAGAGAATGATCCTCATAATCCGAGGAACTGGTCCACGCCCAAAAAGGTGTTCGTCACATGGCAGATCTGCCTCTTGACGACTTCTGTGTACATTGGATCCGCCATCTACACCGCTGGGCTTCCCGGTATTCAGGAGCAATTTCATGTCAGCGAAGTCAAGGCTCTCCTAGGCTTGACCCTCTTTGTGCTGGGCTATGCGCTTGGTCCAATGGTGTGGGTGAGCAGACCCTTGGCCTCACTTGTAAGCAGCAGCAGATCTAATCAAGACGTCCGCTTAGGCGCCTATGTCGGAGATCCCCTACATTGGCCGTAATCCCGTCTATATCGGAACCTTATTCGCATTCGTCCCCCTCCAGCTCGGCGTGATATACGCTAAGAACTTTTCGATGCTTTTGGCATTCCGGTTCATCACTGGTTTTGTTGGAAGCCCCGTCCTAGCCACTGGAGGAGCCACTATTGCAGACTTATACAAGCCTTCAAAGCAAGTATACGGGATCGCAATTTGGGGTATCTCAGCGGTACTCGGTCCAGCCATGGGTCCTCTCGTTGGTGGCTTTGCCGCTGAAAGTAAGGGCTGGCAATGGCCTCTCTGGGAGCTCATGTGGCTCTCCGGCTTCTGCTTGGTCTTCCTCGTCTTCTTCCTCCCAGAGACCAGCTCCAGCAATATCATCTACCGCCGCACTGTCCACATCCGCAAGGCTACCGGCAACACCAACCTCAAATGCGAGCCAGAGCTCGAAGCCGAAGGCATGTCCACACAAGAAATCCTCCTCATGGTCTTCGTCCGGCCTCTCACCCTCACCCTGAAGGAACCCATTTGCTTCGCGCTCAACCTCTACATCGCCCTCGCCTATGGTATCCTCTACCTCTGGTTCGAGTCCTTCCCCATCGTCTTCGGCAATATCTACCACTTCTCCCAGGGCCTCGAAGGCCTCGCCTTCCTCGGCATCCTCATCGGCGCCATTGTCGTCTTGGTGCCCTTTTACTACTACAGCTATAGATTCGTCGAGCCCCAATTCAACGCAAATGGCGAACTCCGGCCCGAGATCCGTCTGCAGCCCGCTATGGTCGGCGCGTTCTTCATCCCCGCCTGCCTGTTCTGGTTCGGCTGGACGTCGCGCGCGTCGATCCATTGGATCGTGCCGATCATTGGCACATCGCTCTTTTCCATAGGCACGTTCCTACTCTTTATGGCCGTGCTTGGCTACCTGGGCGATGCGTACCCGAAGCACGTGGCGTCGGTTTATGCATCCAACGATTTGGTGCGGTCCGGGTTCGGGGCGGCGTTTCCGCTGTTCGCGAATGCCATGTATTCGAAGCTAGGGGTCGCGTGGGCGAGCAGCCTGCTGGGGTTTTTGGCGATTGCGTTCATCCCGATCCCGTTTGTCCTGTACTTTTATGGGCGGAGGATTAGGTTGAGCAGTAAGATGGCGAGGCATGATTTGTAGGATAGATTCGTTGGCCATTCTTGTGATCTCGCACAGTATCTATCTCTAGCAGACTGAACGATCCTAGTCTATCCACCTAGGGGCCAACGCAAAAGCATCATACATTTAGTTAATAGTCCATTTCGAACAATTTCAACCCTTCGTCCAAACAGTTTCCCGCAAGGCTTTGTAGATTATCTCGCAACCTCTGAGATCCAGGAACATTGTTACTTGCCAGGAACCCAAGGTTGACAGGAGAGCCCTTACTCACAAAAACCACGTTACCGCCCATCTTCCTTTCATTCAAAAGGCTCTAACTTTCCTCGTCCTTCATCAGCTTCCATTGAACTGGCCCAGGCTATCTGTCAACGAGCGTCTGAGTATCCCAATTCCCCTCCTCGGGTTGCTCCACCTGTGCTGCAGCCATGGTCATGACTCTGCCGACTTCGAAAGCTGAAGCATACGATGTTGGGTGATGCCGACGATGCAGGGGTCAGATGCCCTACGTCCCCTTAGTATTCCCACTGTAAGAACCCAGTTCTCTTTCAGCTTCCTGTTCCGCTCCGGAACGCCGTAACGCAGACCACAGAGCTTCTCTTGCCTTGACAGTCCTCGGATGCTCAGGGCCTGCCCTGCGCTTCAAGCTCTTGACCACGGCGACTCTATTGCGCATGCTCTTCTTCGTAACAAACATCATGACCGGGGCCCAGGCTTTTCTTCGAGTTGTCTTATATCTTGCGAACATTGAAAATCCTCGCACTTTCTTGTCCCCGTCAGGTTCTTTCTTATAGCATCCCAAATTTTGTTCAATAGAGCTCAAAATTTCCCCAGTCGATTCGGTAGACGGATGATCTGCTCCAAGCGTCTTCTCCTTCGTGCTCAGCATGCGCTGGTGGATCTCCCTCACTGCTTCCCACTCCCCCGCGAAGCGTAATGAGGCGGTCAGATTTGAAAGCGACCGTAGCGTGAGCTGATGATCAAACCCAAGGGGTTTCTTCCCAGTCGGAATACCACTTTTCCCAGCGCGGGAGCACTTGTTGGTAGATGTCATTGTCATTAGCATAGGACTGAGTATGCAGAACCTCGTTTAAGTTCTCGACGCTCATGAGATAGTTTGCTTCCTTTCGCGATCGCACGGCTTCTTCAGCTAGTGCCACGGCTGTGTGGTAACTGCCTCGCGTTTTGAAGTACCACGACAGCTTCTCCACTAGATCAGCTTGCGAAAGGTCTTCCTTAGCTAAATACTGCCCATTGCCGTAGACGGCTTGGGCATGTGGTAGGTATAAGTCACACAGGTCAAGTGTTTCGGGGCCTGCGGGGGAGATTTCTCTGATACCGTTCTTAGGGAGGTCTCGACTCAAGCTTTGAATCTACCGTGGGCTTTTAGCCAGTTGCGCGTCGCTAGATGCACCAATCTATGCATACTAAACATCGTGCTAGTCCTGTCTGTGGTAACAAGGCTATATGCTTTGAGAAGACCCAAAGCGTTCATAGCCTTCACCAAGCTCGTAGGCAAGGGAAGGAGACTTTAGGAACAGCTTGGTCGTCTAGTCAGGCCATGTAAGATAAGATATCCGCGGCGACGGGCTTAGACCGGTTGATTTGATCGAAAGATACTGCCTATGTGGATATAATAGGAATTAGGGCGTCATCATCTCTTCCAGGATCCGTAAATCTCTCGGCCAAGAGCTCTGTTCTGGATGCCTCGCTGTGACTGCACACTTGGAGGTACTCTGAAATAGTGATGGAGTTTTCCGCAATGTATGATCCGGCTTGAGACAAGGCAAGGGGCAGCTATTCCAAACAATCAAGAAGCTCAACGATATCATCGCGGTTGGACATGAATTCGCCTGAACGGGATTTCTAAATTTGCTCGGCGTCCGCGGGATCCATTTTTGGCAGTATGATAAGCCCAGTCGCAGTAACAAATTTGATGCCAGCTTTCTTGTTTCAAGTTGTGAAAAGGATGGAGCCGTTGGAAGACTGCGGAAGAAATTCGGATGAACCCTTCAGTACGAGAGGCCGGTCAGCTTCTCGATTGCCAAACAGCATGTCAGTATCATCCGCGCTATCCACAACGAGTAAGCATGTGCCAGCATCGTTACTGCTGAGCCAATCCTTGATTGATTGCTTGGGGTCATAAACGGAGTCGTTGAATCCAGATATCCTCGCAAGTCTACCAATTTGAAGGTAGTCTTATTCGAAGCGCGAAGCACTGCTGGCATTCATCCAAAATACTGAGAGTTGAGGCTCCATTTCAAGACGGCGGTAAGCATACTCCAAGGCGACCTGGGACTTCCTACGAGCGGCGTAAGCAAGTGGGCTGTTAGAAAAGACTCAAAGAATCCAGATTACCCTATTCCACCCAAACCAGCTAGAGCAACGCGAGTGTGTCCAACATGCCTCTCAAGTCTGGCACCAAGATCCTCGATTTGAAAGTCCCGCCCAACGAATGTTGAATTTCTAGCGAAAGGTATTAGTAGAAGAGCCCGTAGAAAATTCGCTTTGGATCCCGTTGTTGAGATTGGCTGACTTAATTAGCTGCTAGTCATGTCAGTGGCCCGGTTGGTAGTTACAGGGAAATGGTACCAGGAGGCGCTGCATATCATCTTGCATCCGCGGGAGCAGTTCATCATGAATAGCCGCTACTTTACCAGAAATGGCGGGCAACTCATCATGGACTGTTGTGATGACTTCCCTCGAGATCTGTCGCTATGGCTGGCAGTTCATCAATCCTGTTTGGTACGGTTCTTACTTTGCGAATGCTGTTCTTGATAGCAGGAAGCTCCTGAGAGATGCGCAGTCTGCACTTCGACAAACTCGAGATGAATCGTATGCAGTAGTGCGGCATACGAAGAAGCCAGCGACTTGTACAACGCCGTCTTGAAAGGTCGAGAAGAGGTGCTTCTACAAGACCATCCCGCCACACTATCAGCTAGAACTGACGTGGCTACGATTTTACGACTACGTGGGTAATTCGAAGAAGCGGAGACGCTCGAGCGTGAGACACTGAAGAAAGCAAAGACATTGCTCGAGAGGGATCACCCAATCGTACTTGCAAGTCGAGAGAGCCTGGCGTGTATCCTGTGGGCGCAGAAAGACGCTAATGCCAAGTCGAAGGAAGCCATTGAGCAAATCAAAGAGGTGTTGAAAGCGAGAGAGAAACGACAGGGATGGAGCCATACTGACACACAGGGGACCGCCAATCTCGCTATAGGGATGACAGCCGAAGGGAAAGAAAAGGAGAAGCTTAAAAAGAAGATCGTGAAGAGTTCTACTGTGTTGTAACGGACAACGGTTCCAATGCTGCGTAAGTGGCGAATGAGGATTTGAGCTTTATGCCGCAGGCCGAAGCTTGGATATGAAGCGTATGAGAGAATTCTTGAATGATGCATGATACCATACTTGACATGCATGTTGCTTTGTCTTTCTCTCACTTCTGATAGTGACACGTTCTTACCATTCAAGTATTCCAGCAGTATGTTGTAGTCATACATAGCAATAGAGTATGTTGTACGAGTACCAGAATAGTACAGGTTCGCCAAGCCCAAAAGCTTGGGCTTTGGGGCTTGGCCAAGTGTCTAATTATAGCCAAGCCGAGGGACCCAACATTCACTGAATTGCATGGCTGTTTTTGGTTTTCCATTGTCCGACTTTCACAATTACTCCCCTCGCAGAACTAGAAACAATTGCTGATGAATCCTCATTCTCCTCACTTCTGATAGAGAAGACGCATCAGCAAAGAAAACAAAGCTTTTTTTGTTCTTCATCACTGAAATCGCTTTGAAGGCGCAACCTGCTGATTGACTGCCAGGATGTGTCCGAAACTTCCAACGGCCACATTTGCTCAATAAATCTACTCGTGAAGGAATCTCTTGATATCTATAGATCGGCTCAGCCGCAACGGGAGTGTTTGAGGGTCCTCGTGTTCGCGTCGGGCATGGGAAGTCAGCAAGGCCCGCGCCCAGCTCTGGGTGCTACCTTCTATCCGGGAGGTGTCGATGACTTTTATATGCCAGGAGTCATCTCTCCTTCGCCTCAAAGGATCACACCAGAAGTTCCCGGTAAAATCCAGGACAATCTCGCCCATCTAGAGCTTGATGATGCACCGGGCGATGGCTTGTCTGGACTGCAGTCACCCTCTCCCGCAAGCGGAAAACAAGGCATCATGACACCCTCCTTCCCAAGCAAGAAATCGTCCTTCTCGAACCTCAATGTGACCGACGGTTCAAGTCAGCACCAGATCTACCATACTCAACCTCACAATCAATCTCAAGGCCATGGAGCACATAATGTTGACGCAAATGAACAACCAACGTTTTCGCCATTTCCCCCACTTCGCAACCGCCCAGCGAACGTTCCCCCGTCAGTTGAAGAGAAGGAAGGCATCCTCGAAAGTGCGCGCACACCTGTCTTGAGTTCAGATGATCCGGAGATGCAGTTGAGCTGGGCTCAAGACACCCTAGTCTACGTTGAAATTGCGGCCCAAAACGAAGTACGGATCTCTGAAAACCAAGCAGCAAGGCCTCGAACACCTCATACAGAGCATCAACTGCGGGTAGATGCCATCAACATTGTGTCATTCCTGGCTGATCAGCACCACCCCAAAGCAGAATTTATGAAAGGCATGTGGCTGGAATTTGGCAAATTCAATTATCGAGTAGACAAGAAAGAAGCATTCCGATGTTATCAGCGGGCAGCACAGAAAGGATATGCAAGAGCCGAATATCGGATAGGCATGCAATTCGAAAGCTACAATGATCCTGAGAAAGCAATAAAGCATTACACTTTGGGTCTACAAGCCGGTGACTCCGCCTCTTACTATGTAAGCTGAATTCTTTTCTGCGCTGGTATACACACACGCTGTGTGTTTGAGAAACTGGGCTGACAGGCATAGCGTCTCGGAATGATGACTCTTCTCGGGCAACATGGCCAGCCTCTGAATTATGAACGAGGCGTTAAGCTTATTAGCTACTCGGTTCAGACTGCTGACGAGAACGCACCCCAAGGAGCATACGTGAGGCCTACACATTCCGGTAGCTATGGCAGGGACTGATCAGCTCGGCAGGTTTTCGGCATGCTGCAAGCCCACGAATTAGCCCAGATTAACCTACCCGAGGAGTGCCTACCATTGAATATTACCGGTGCCAGGTTCAATATAGAGAAAGCCGCGTACCTAGGGTTTGCGAAGGCACAGAGCAAGATGGGCTTGGCGTATGAGCTCTGCCAGCTTGGCTGCGAATTCGACCCTGCTCTTTCACTTCATTACAGCGCCTTGGCTGCTAAACAAGGCGAGCCCGAAGCCGAAATGGGCATCAGCAAATGGTTCCTGTGCGGATTCGAAGGCATGTTCGAGAAGAACGAAGAATTGGCTTTCACGTACGCGCAGCGTGCAGCACAAAGTGGATTGGCAACTGCAGAATTCGCAATGGGCTACTTTTGCGAAATTGGTATCTACGTCCCCATGAATCTCAAGGAATCTAGATCATGGTACGAGAAGGCAGCGGATCATGGCAATAAAGACGCTACAGCAAGAATTAACGACATATCTCGCTCAAACACTTTGTCTAAGAAAGATCATCAGAACATTGCAGTCGCCAAAATCCAATCACAGTATGGCTCACACAGGGGAAAAAGGCCTGAACGCTTCAAGAACCCTCCGACGGCCATGCCTACAATAGCGGACAATCCCATTGACATGCCAGAACCAAACCTACCCAGACCGAAACCTGGGGCAAATCCATCTTATGCGTATAGAACCGCAGACAATCCAGCTCCACGGCCTGCTTCCGCCGCCCAATACCCCATGGACAATGGCCGAGGCCGACCTCCACAAAGGCCAGCAAATGGATCAAGCTATGCCAATCCCAGTGTCCCCATTAACCCGGACGCCCGGCCAACTTCAGCGGCCGCATCAGAAGTTTCATTTGGCGATAATAACTACAGAGGTTCAGCTTACCCCACATTCCAACCTGCTCAATCTAGTATAGCTGTTGAAAACATTGGAGGTGGGCGTGGAAGAGTTGGCCCAGCATATGGAGGTTCTGGTGTGCAACGCCCTCCTCAGGGTTACCAGCAGGCCAATTCTGGTTATACAAGTCCGCGTCTTCCCGGATCTCCTGCCTTGAAGAGCTCAAGACCGCCGAGTGGGCAGCCTCCTGCGATAGATATCGGTTACTCGGCTCCTCCAGACCCATCAGGTGCCGACCGCAAGAGGAGACAACAAAGATCGGATAATGCGAACATGCCTCCGCCCAGACACCCAAGCTACGACGTCTCAGCAGGCCGACCACAGGACAGACTATCAGGTCTACCGCATTCACAGACCATGCCCGCATTCAACCGTCCCGATAGTGCGCAAGTGAAGCCTAATCCTTCCGGAAGGCAAGGCGTATCTCGACAGGATATGCCTCCGAGAGTTGATAGTGCAGCATTCTTACCGAACATTCCTCCCAAAGCACCCAACCTGGATCGACCAGCTGCTACACCACCTCCCAGTGGTCTTGTATCGAAGCCCCCGGGTAAAGGTCCGAAAACGTTCCAAGAGATGGGTGTACCGGCAACAAAGCAAGAAGGTGATTGTGTAAGTTGGCCCAGATTCGATGGTGTTGATACATGTACTTACCGCGTGGCAGGTCATTATGTAAATTCAGAGTGCATGGAGAATTTAATGCATTGCGAGGAAAGAGATACCCGGATCTGCTGAATTTAGCATTTGATCGAGCGTTACTATTGCATATGGAAGAAATGAAGGGAATGTCGTTTTTTGGGTAGATGGAAAACACTACGAACATACTAAATCATAAGCGAGAATTCAAAACCAAGTTGCCGCTTGACCGATGTTTGCTCAGACATTTTCCCCACCTAAGAATTCGTCCGCACACCAAACTCGATATCATCATTGTTAAGACTACGCAGTAGAATTTCTCCTCGGTGTTGGAGCAATGGCTCCTCGCAAGGAGAAGACGGAGAAAGCCACGGCAGATCAAGGTGACGACAACCGGTCATTTCAGCCCCGGGACTCGGGAGTTAACGCTGCAGTGTAGGAACTGCAATGATCATTGAATACCTGAGTACGTCTCATCTCGACTCGGACCCGTGCCAACTGCTGATCTTCGCAGAGAAGCAGAAGTTCGTGGACCCGTTGGCTCTCGGTGATTGAAGTTTGACTGAAATTGCCCTTTGACATCAGCCGGCCCTACTCTGTGAGCGACATTCCAATCCATTGACCATCGCTATCATCGGATCCCAAGCTCTAACGCCTGTTGCCATGCAGGCAACGGATATCTCAGCCAACTTGCACAACAAAGTCACCAAGAGTAGGATCGGTGCGACATGATTCTGTGAGATGGGAATGGCTTACGCCATCTTAGCCTACGCTGCCAAAGTCTTGAAGGAACTCCATGAATGCCAGGTGGTCGCTGGGAAGGGCGCTGGTACGATAGCTGCCCAGACTCATCTGAAGCAAGCCGTCAACTTTACGAAACGCAGGAAAGCAGTGGGTCTATCATGCTATCCAAGACCCCGACGACGCCATGAGTCTCGAAGACCTCGCAACTATGGACAAGGAAATCGCAGACCTCCGTGCAACCATCGCTACCGCCAAAGCCAACGAAAAGCTCATGCGAGCAAATCTCGTCTCCGTCAACGCTACACTCTCTACCGACGAACTCCGCAGCAGTGTGTCACTGCTAGAATTGGAGAAGAAGGAGATAATTGCACGGCTGGGTCCTTTGAGGTCAGGCAATGTGAAGCCGGTGTTGCCAGAGGAGAAGGAGGCGGTGGACAAGGCGTGGAGGGAGTGGTCGAGGAAGGCGAGTTCAAGGAAGAAGATTTGCATGGAGCTCTGGGCCATCAGTACTGAAGAGATGGAGCCGGGGAAGACGAGGAAGGAACTCTGGGTATGAGTGCTGCTTTGTGTGACATGGCATGTCTTTTGCTAAGACTGATCGATTGCAGGAAGAGCTAGGTCTAGAAGGTGATGAGTAGCCGTCATGCATCATGGGGCCAGGCTTGAGCAGGTGGCCTTGATTCAAGAGGATTACAACGGTCGATCTAACGTTGCTATTGTGCCAGAGCTTACTCAGCCATAAGGGAGGAAGCTTATTAGCACGGGATCAGATTGTCATTAGCTGCAGGTCAGGGAAGCGCTCTTTACAAAGAGGATGCGGAAGCAAAGCATCGGATAGATTAGCGTTCGATGTCTTCCTGATCTCGATGGCCGCTGTCAAGTATTCATGTCATCAGGATGCCATTATAGTCAGTCTTTATTTTTGTGAATGGGTCATGTGCAGCGTTGGACAGTCCTCGTGACAGGTCGATCTGGTCTCATCGTGTCTCATCACTGCCAAAAGAATTAGATGTGAATTTGTTGAGTTGAGATGATTCAAATATAGAGTACCTCGACCTTTCTTTCTTTCTTTCTTCCTCGAGTTATGCAAGAAGCGCGTTGTACATGTAAAGTACATGTCCTTGGCGTGAGAGATACACGGTACTGGTGGGAGAAGGATAAAGTACGGGAGAATAATACTGTATCTGAAATTCGAAAGATTCATTGGGCCGGCACGCTAAGATAAAACGTTGTGGAGATCCGATAAGATTAGCGGATTTAGACCCTGGTTCAAGTTCAGCAATTCTACCTTCTACCTACTTTCTACCCTACTACTTTACTTTACCTTACTTTACCTTACTTTACTCTACAAGCCTCTCACTCTTCAACTCAATCAAAACCCGAACAAGTCCATTATCTCCTCACAGTGCTCCAACAACACCAAATCTTTTATCTTTTTCTTCTTTCCCCGCGGCATCATCCTTCCCTACAATCTTTCCAGTCGCGTCCAATCATACGCGCCCTCATGGCGCCCTTCCTTCCTCCGCAATCCGCCTCGAGACCCCTGCCCGATTTCCTGCCAAGCTCCCCACCCGACCAAGCAATCTTCAACAACCTTCCGCAACAAACAAGCTCTACCCAAAACGGCAATGGTGATAGCATACAGCATCGGCAGTCTGCAGACTTTAGGGCAAATGGGGCGGCAGCATACACGAATGGCAATGGCGCTATGCCCGTTCCAAACGGCCTGCCTCATCAGATTCCGAACGGAGGCTCACGACATAGAGGTACAATGAGTCTGGGAGCATTTGATGGTCCACGAAGTCCTCCAAACACTAAAAGTAAGGCCTCATACCGGTACAACGCATAGGCTGCGACAAGACGGACTGATCGGTGCCACGCAGATACTTCACATGTCCCTTGCAAATTCTTCAGAACAGGACAGTGCCAAGCTGGGAAAGCCTGCCCCTTCTCACACTCGACTGACCTCACAACCGCCGATACGCCTTGTAAATACTTTGCCAAGGTACGAGGAGCTGAACTCAAGGTCCTCAAGGCCATGTACTGACTCATCGGCTAGGGCAACTGCAAGTTCGGGGCAAAATGCGCACTGGCACACATCCTTCCAAATGGCAGAAGGGTCAATCGACCGAACGGACCTGTTGGAGGGCAGCTCAATCTCGGCGGCCGGCTGGATCCTCAATTATACCAGCAATCAGATCCTGCTTTAGCACACTCACTCCTAGCTCAGCAAGCGAACGGAGCTCCACTACCTTTTGGTCATCAGATCCCTTCGTATGCCGAGAATGAATACGCCATACAACAGAAACTTCACGATAACGTGCCAATAATAGACACGGGCTACACATCACGCCATGATTCTACGTATGGCTCTCCACGGGACGATAGTCGGTTACCAATTTCGCCCGTTGCCCACCTCAGTGCCCTTGACGCGCCCATGCCAGCCTCTTTCGATAGTCAGGGGATTTCCTACATCGCCAGACACGGCGCCGTTGCGGCGTCTGTCCCTTCCAAATTTGGCCTCGAATCGCCTCCTGGATCACTACCGAAGAAAGTTGTTCAACCTACGGACGCGGTCCGGAACTTACACAGCTCAGTATATCCAAGAGAGGCCCGTACAAAGGGTCCAGACCTAGGATCATCACCTTTAGGATCGGGCGATGAAGGGTTTGGACAGCGCATTATGCATTCTAAAAGAATAGCCAGACCTGGCATGATGTCGGCAAGTCTACCCAGAGGTCGAGGGCATGTGAGTGATGACTGGGATGATGGCTTTATCTTTGGTGGAGAAGAGGACTTTCTGCCCACCAGCCTTGACGATCTACTTACCCCACAAGAAAAGATGCGAAGGCTATCGAGAACGGAAAAGGAACCCAAAAACATACGCGACAGTCCCAGTGGGCTGGGCACCCCGGCCGACTCATCGAGTAAAGTGGGCTCTCCAGGCACAGGCAGCCCGTCCCGCTACGGTACATTTTTTGCCCGTCAAAAGCAGGATGAAAGCAGCAATAACGCAGCTTCAGCATTCGGACACGTTGGCTCTCCCCTCCGGAACTCCTCTCTTCACACGCTCGCCAGCCCGCCTCTCCGTGCCACGAAAGTCCCGGGTGACACGTCGCCAGCCTTCGCCAGCCCACCTCGCCAATCCTCCATGTCCATGATATCCCAGCAACTGGCACGTGCACGGATCTCGTCTCAAGCAGCAGAGTCGAATGAGAATGCCAACCCTATTACTAATCACAACAGCAGTCTCCAGCCTGGTTTGACCCGCCACGCTTCCTTATCCTCCATTCCCACGAATCGCGTGCTCTCGTCATCTAGCGCCGGCGGCACTGGCAGGATCGATGAGGAGCAAGGGGAGGGCGTCTTCTCTATGGAAGAAGAAGAGGACGATAATCGGAAACGATACAGTGGGAACGCGTGGGGCTACAACTCCGGGAAAGCCTCTCCTCGGTTGGGCGCCATCGGCTCTGGTAGAGGCGGTGGTGCGGAAGGGAAGGATTACTGGAACGGAATGGCATGAATGGCCCACACTGTTGAGAACTGGATTCTTGCATCGAAAAGCTACAGTGCTTGACGATACCTTCGCCTGTGTTCTAGAAGACATTGGAAAGGGCCGCACGACGCTCGTCGCGATGATTAGCACGTGAACCGGACATGATCTTGGGCGGCTTGGATGACTAGCGGTTAGCGTGCATTTGCTTGATGCTCGCATTTGAAGCGGTGGAGCATCTGCCGGATGCAGACGGGCGTTTGGAGCTCCGTGGTCCCTTAGGGATCGTACGAGGTAAATAGCACAAAGAGCTTAAGCCGCTCCTGAAAATAGATGAGCAAATAG